AGGGCTGGCACCTGCCTGGGTGCTCCCACTGCCACCTGTACCAGGGTGAGACGCCGAGCCAGCTGCTGTGGGGGGACAGGGAAACCCTTTCCCAAGGGACTGCTGCCACAGAAGTGACTCGGCCACACCCTCCCCGTGGGACACACAGGGAGCTGGGGACCCTCCTCAGGGGTGAGCCCTGGCCTGCAGCAGCCCCAGCGCAGGGTGGATCATCCTGAGCTCCAGCCAGGGCGGGACCCAGGCACAGGCAGATAAAGCGACCGATGGGAAGGGTCAGGGAGCGGGTCAGGAGCTGCACCCTGAGCCCCCAGTCTGGCAGCCCCAGGGGCTCAGACCAGGGGGCCCCCCCAGCCCCAAACATCCCCCGCCCTGGCCCCTGATTGCAGCACGTCCGGCTGGGCCCTGGGACCAGCTGCCATTTCTCCTGCGGTTTGGGCCAGAAATAGGGCGATGGAGCAATGCTGCCCTTGCCCAATGCTGCGGTGGGGGCGGGGGGCTCTGCTGACAAAGGCCCCGCTCCCTGCACTGCTCTTTTTTCTTTTTTTTTTTTTCCCTTTTAAATAAACCCTGTTAGTTCAGCTGTGCCGAAAGGGGAGGCGGCCGCCACCTCCGCAGCCCTTGAGTCAGCCCGGGGGGCTGGGGCGTGGAGGGAACAGGGCTCTGGGAGGGCCAGGGGTGGGGGGAAATGAGGCTCTGGGGGGGCCCAGGCATGGGGGAAATGGGGCTTTGTGGGGACACAAGCAGGTGATGCCCCCGCTGTGGGGAGCCAGCCCAGCTCCCGCGACAAGGGGCATGGTCCAGCTGGGTGAAGGCACTGGCTGGGCACCTCGAGCAGCAAGGACGTGTCCCCTGTCCCTCAACCTCATTAATCATCCTGGATCTTGTTTGGAGAAATGGCTTCGCGAGTGCTCAGATGCCGGGACCAGCACCTGTGAGCACCCAGGCGTCTGGCTGGGGGAGGCACTCGGCGGCTAAGCCGCTCTCGCCGAGAAGTCCCTGACCTCTGGCCAGGGATCTGGTGGGATTACAGCCCCGGGAATGCTCCCTGAGCTCTATGAGCCAATTACTGCGCCGGATCCCCGGCTGGGAGCACCCCTCGGCACGCCGGGCAGCGGTGCAGGGTGAGAGGGGCGATGGCTGATGCAGGGTGAGCGGGGAGGACACGGCCCTTTTCCTGGGAGGGGTCCACTGGTGACTCCCCCACTGCCCCCAAAGTCCTGTCCTGCTCAGATCCCCTCTTGCCTGCGTTATCTGCTGCTGGCCTGGCCAGGCACCGCAATCACCTCCCCGGCACAGCAGCGCCCAACCGGGGGCCCCAGGGCACTCCCCCTTATCTGGGAGCCAAACTGCCTCTGGGTGGGGGGCAGTGGCCCCCCGGCCGTGTTATGACACTCGGGTCCCCCATTCCCCGCGCCGGGGCCCCCTCACCCTCCCTGGGGGCGGCTCATCCGCTCGGCTGGCTAATGCAATAAAGCTCTAATCAATATTTTAAAGAAAGTAAATGGACCCTCCCGCCCTCGTTAAGAGGCCACGGGGCCCCTGCTCAGGCCCCACGCCCCCAGCTGGCTTTGGGCTTTGAAAAGGAGAATAATCCACGGGAGAAAGGGGTTCCGAGGGGATGCCCCACGCCTTAACCAGCTCCTGGGGATTCAGAGGAGTTACGGGCTCTCTGCTCCTGCAGACCCTGCTGGAAAATCCCAGCTCCACCAGCCATGTGCGCAGGGCTGGTCCGGGCAGAGGGGGGTCCGGTTTCACCCGCCCCCGCAGCCCTGCCGAGGTCGCCGAGTTGCTTTCGGTTTATTTTTCCCCCACCACTGCACTTTGAAACGCCGTATCTCGGGGTGCGCTGCACCACGCCAGATAAGAGCTGAGGTTTTCACACCCCTGTGCCACCAGCACGGTTCAGATGTCCCCAGCACAAGAAACCTCTTACCCCACTAAAGCACCAGCACCCCCCTGAAACCCCACAGCTGGCACAGCCTCCGGCTGGCACTGTGGTGACTTTTTAAATCCTTCCTGAAGCAGAAATGGGGTGTTAAACATCAGCCTGAGGCAGCCACTGCAGGACATCCCAAAAGGGAGCACCCAAAATGGAGAACTCCAGAGGGAGAGTGGTGGCTGCTGCAGCCAGATGAACACAGGGAGGTGGATTCCTCAAGCTCCTGCGATGTGGGACAGGGTACTGGCATGCAGAGTGCCGTGCCTGAGGAAGCACCAGCAGCACAGGAAACTCCAAAAGAGTTGGAAAGGCTGGAAACTCCAGCTCCAGGAGCTGCCACTCCACCAGGGGCTCCCACTCCTGGTATTAACGGGGAGCAGTAATAGCAATAATGAAACAGAAAGATCAGAGCATGGATCTCGGGGGGCAGCAGCAGCAGAGCCCCCACAGTGCTGGGGTACAGAACTCCGAGCAGTTTTACCCCAAGCAGCCCTTTGTTGGCAGGAGCTTGCTGGATTTTTAGCCATTTCCTATGGGGAGCCTCTTACCACCCAGAAAATGCCCCCTCTCCCCCCTCACCCCGAGGAGCCACGGTGCCCTTGGCAACTGCTGCCCCCGAGTTCCCGGTTGTGCTGGGGGCTCCTTTGTTCTGCTGCCCGCGCCGGCAGCGCCCGGGTCAGGCTGAGCTGACCTCTGCCTGTGCAGTAGCCGTCCCTGGGGACGGGGAGGTGCCACGCGCCGGCTCCCTAACCTCCCTCACCTCCATAACTCTTCCTCACGCCCTCCCCTTCCTCCTCCCTTGAACTGGGCCCCATCCTCCTGCCTCCGGCCCCCCACAGCTCAGCCGAGCACCAGTTCACAGGAATCTGTCCCAGATGGGTCAATAAAACCTGGCAGTGGAGGATGGGGGCTGCCAGGGTTTGGGTGTGGAGGCAGGCACGGGGGCTTGGATGGCGGCGCTGCCCGGTGAGAACGGTGTTCTCAAGCACGCAGACCCACGGGCCAAGGATGCCAGCATAACCAGAGCTGAATCCAAACTGGATTCAAACTCCCAGCGGGGAGAGCTGGCCAGCCAGGGAAGTTAAAAGGTTGGTGGGAGAACAGGGGTGCTGCCGGTGCTGAGAAGCTCTTTGGCAAACACAAAAAGCAACCCATCCCTCACAGAGCAGGCAGGCAGAACGCTGGCACAGCACCACGTCCCAGCTGGCTCACCCACACAGGGACCCTGCTGTGCTCCAGCATCCCGGAGCTGCCGGGGTTCCCCCTAAGGCGCCTCCACCCCGGCGAGGAGCGGGGATGGGGTACGGCATCCCCTGCCCCGTGCTGCCCTCGCTGTTTACATTCCTGCTGCTCCTTCCCAGGCCGCGCCAGCTGGGCTGGGATGGAGCCCGGCGGCACGCGCTGGAGGCCGGCCAGGAGGAGCTCCCGGCCAGCACCGGCTGCGCCAGCAACCCCCTGGCCCCGGTCCAGGGGCCGCGATCCAAGCGCGGTCGCACGGGCTGACGTGCCGGGGAAAGCCTCTCCGGGCCCAGCGCGTCGCCTCCGCTCCTCCGCCCACGGACGCTTTCCAACCCCCTCCGGCTGCTTCCACAACCATCACCCAGCCGGGCTCTTCCCAGGGACCCCAGGAACGACATGGAGGGAGAGGGAGCGCTCAGGGAGAGGGGGCACAGCTCGTGGGGCAGGGGAAGCGCTGGGAATGGGGTTGGTGTTCCCACGTGCTGCGGCTGCGATAGGGGACCTGGCAGAGGCTACGGCACTGACACGCTGATGAACAGGAAGATCAGAGCTGCGGTATTGAAAAGCCTTTTCACAGCTACGAGTTCACGGCCCTGGCCTCTCGCTCCACGGCGGCAGGAAGCACAAGAGAGAGAAACCACAAGAAGAGCAGGTAGCCTGGGTGCAGCAAGGGATGTCACCACTCGGAGGGATGAGCCACTCGGAATCACCCAACCAGGGAATGGGTGAGACTGAGCCCAGCACTAAAATGAGGGATGTGCAGGGCAGCAGCATCCCTCCATCACTACAGTGCACAGGAGCATCCCTCCATCCCCACAGTGGACAGGAATATCCCTCCATCCCCACAGTGGACAGGAGCATCCCTCCATCCCCACAGCCAGGCAGCACCAGGAGGATGGCCACATGCTCCATGCTTGCTGGTGCTCCCTTGGCCAGCCCTGTTCTGAGCCACATCCACATGTGCCAGCAGATCCCATTTCGGAAGGGATGCGACGGCCTCCTGAAGGTGAAGGGGCAGAGGTGGTCGCATCCCTCCTGAAAGGCCACCATGCCCTGGCTGCTCCATCTGGGTCCCATCTGCTGCTGCTGGTCCTGCCCCTTCCCCCAGCCCCAAACTCCGATGCATTTAAACACACATCAAAGGTGCCGGGCAGCCCCCGGGGAGCCCCGACTGCAGCACGTTTTCTTCTATCAGTGAGAGCAGTCTGCAGCCAGCTCTGGCACCAGGAGAGTGGGAATGTCCTGGCCTCGTTGCCTGGGGAAGGCAACAAAGGGGGCAGCCAGGTACTTTCTCCCTGGTTTCACTCTTTCATGGCACTTTGGCAGCAGCAGGGGTGCAGCTCTGCACCCCCCACCATGGCATCCATGGGGCCAGGGTTGTTCTGCCAGGCATCACCTCTGTAGTGACAGTGATGGGAGACAGACAGGTCCCCATGGAAAACGGTTTGGGGAGAGTGGAGAAGAAGAAAACCAAGAGATCCATCAGATTTTAAACTTTGGGGTGATTTTTTTCATAATTTTCAGCAAGAATCCTCCCAGATCCCTGCAGCAAACCCAATTGCACTGCATGCCTGTGGCAGAACAACCCAGACACAGGATCCACTCAGAGTCACCCAACCAGGGAAGGGGCGAAATTGAGCCCAGCACTAAAACCTTGGAGAAATCCCACACATTCCTAATGACAAGAGCAGCTGGATCTGAGGAGAACACTGCCGGAGGCGGCACTGCCAGAGGCATCTCCCCACGCTGGCGAGGACACACGGCTGCGCAGGAGCAGGGAGAGGGATGGCGCAGGGACACGCGTGGCTCGGTGGGCACATACCTGCTTGAACTGCTCCTCGTAGGTCCAGTCGCCGTGGTCAGGTGCTGGTGGTGGGGGCTGAGCGTGGCCCAGGCCGGGGGGCAGCCGCTCCTGTCCCCCTGGCAGCCGTGGTGGCTCCCCCCGGTAGTGCTGGGGTGCTGGGGGCTTGCGGAGCAGCAGGGATCCCGCACCCGCCCGCACCGCCCCTGCTGAGCTGAGCCCTTCCTCTCCCATGTCTTCTTCTTCCTCATAGTCTTCCTCTTCCTCCTCCTCCTCTTCTTCCTCTTCCTCCTCACCCAGGTCCTCTTCAAAGTCATCTTCATCCCATTTGCCCTTTCTGGAGCCAGGAGGAGAAGAGAGGTTTGGTCCCATGCTGGTTCCCAAGGCCCATCCCTCTCTCCTGCCCGCCCCAGCTGCGGGGCTGGGACCACCCACCCAGCACACAGTGGAGCCCCGGTACAGCCCATTGGTGGGGGCAGTTCTGGGGGGCATGGCCAGCTCCCAATATCCCAGGAGCAACTCTGTCATGGACTTCTGCCAGACAGCTCCTGGCCTGGCCTGGCCCTGCCCTGAGTAGATGCACGCTGCAAGCAGCTGAGGGTCCTGCATAATTTAACACTAACCTGGGGTCCTCTGTCCCAGCCCCACCTGCCTGCTGGGCAGAGATGGGATGTCATGCCAACCCAGCATGAGGAGCCACTGCCACAGAGCCGAGCTGCTGCTCTCAGCACCTCCTGCTCTGAAATATCCCAATAGCTCTAATCCACAACCTGCCCCAAGCCACAGGATCCCTGGTTCCCAAACCCACCAACGTTGTGCCACTTCCCTGCCCCTTCCCTGAACCCACGAGAGCTGCCCGAGTGCACTCACAGGTCCTCCTCCTCCTCAGAGCCCATCTCCTGCTGGTACCCGCTGCCATCTTCCTCCTCCTCGCCGCGCTCCTCCTCTTCCTCCTCCTCAGAGCCTTGGCTCTCATCCGACAGCCCCGGGCTGGGCGAGTGGCTGAGGCCGGCGGCGGCCGCCCGCATGGCAGCCAGGGCGGCCATCTGTGCCCGCTGGATGTGCGCGCTCTCGGGCTCCGCTCCCTCCTCCGAGGGCGCCGGGGCCGGATCCTGCCCACGGCCCCGGCTGCTGGCAGGGGGCTGCCCCGGGGGCTGCGACGGCTGCACTGGGGGGGACGTGCAGCGCGGAGGCTGCTGCTGCTGCTCCTGCTGCCGCGCTTCCAGCGCCTGCTGCAGCCGTGCACGCTGCTGCCGCTGCAGGTTCTCCATCACCGCCTGCAGCTTCATGGCTCTGCCGGCGGGCGGGGGGTCCCCGGGGGGGCGGGGGGCGATGCACCCGGGGGGCAGTGCCCGGGGGGCAGCGCCCGGCAGGCTGCCGCGCTCCAGCGGGGCTGGGGGCCAAGGCTGGGCAGCGCCGGGGGGAGGCAGCCCTGGAGGGGGCTGCCGGGGGGTGAGGGCAGTGCCGTCGGGGTGTCAGGGCAGGAATTGACACCGGGTTAGGAAAGAAGGATGTGCCCCTTGACCCCTCTCAGGCTTGGTCCGACGTCTCCTTGGCTTAAAGGCTACGGTGTGTCGCGGGCTCCGCGCTGCCCGTTGGGATTGGGGTGCTGCTGTTGTTGGGGGGAGTGTCCCAGGTAGTCTCCAAAACTCCTCCTCAAGCTCAGCAGGCAGCAGCTGGAGCAGGGCGCATCACCCTTTCCCTTGCAGACCTGGCACTTTGTGGGGTGGCAGCCTCAGGGTCCCCTGCTCACAGTCGGTGTCTCTAATCCTCAGCTGGGTCAGTGTCCGGCAGGCGTCGGCGCAAACCTGTGGGAGAAGTAGAGCAGAGGGTCAGTGGAGCTGTGGGTAGGAGCTGGCGAGCAGGAAGGAGTTAAAGACAGCGCAGGAGCCTCATTAATCTCGAGCTAATGAGATAGGGCGGCTGGGCCTGCTGCTGGAGGGGGAAGGGGCCTGCCCAACCGATAGCCCTGCCCGGCCCTGCAGGCAGCGGATACCGGTGGACCCACGCCTGAAGATAACAGGGCCTGGGGACAGACGTCCACCAGATCCCCCACAGGGGACAGGGCACATCCCCAGCAGGGACATACGGCATGGGGAGCACTGGGCTCATGGTGATGGCACTGGGGTGTGGGCAGCACTGGGGTCTGCACCCAGTGGAGGGGCCCCAAAGCACCTCAGGGCAGATCCCAGGGTATGGACCCGCAGAGCCTTGAAATCCTGGCAAACAGGCTCAGCCCCCTTGCTCCCCTTCCCTGGGGGCCGGGAGCTCTCCAAGGCAAGGTGAGGCTGCCACCAGCTCATCTCTGCTGTGCCCCACTGGAAAACACCGAGGGGATCAGCACAGAACAGCTGAGCCCTGCGGAACCCCACACCCCAGCACCGTGGTCTGGACCTCTTTTAGCACTGAGCTCCCAAGCCCCGGCGGGGCCGGCCAGCTCCCAGCTGTGACCTCGCCCGCACTGAAGGAGCTCACCGCAGCACCGCCGCCGTGCCGTGTACGGGCAAATCCCGCTTCAGCTGCCCGGGGGCACTCACGGCACGACCCTCACGGGGACTGACCGTGGGGCCGGAGCCGGGTTCTGCGGGGCCAGCACAGCCGGCAGCTCCGCCACGATCCCGCGCATTCTGGAAAGAGGAACCTGCTGCCAGCGTGGGCCGGGGCCGCGGGCGGTCGGGCGGGAGCCGCTTCCCCCACGCCTCGCCGCGGCCGCATCCGCTCCCGGCCCGGCCGGGCTCACGCTACGGACGGACACGTCGCCACCGCCACGGCAACCTCAGCGGCCGCCGCCTCCACCGGGAGCCAGCAGAGGCGCGGCACAAGCGGGCCAGCAGTGCCCGTGCCTCAGTTTCCCCCACTCCGATCAGCGCCGTCCGGCCCCCGCGGAGGAGAGCGGCGGCGGGGACACTCCCCATGCCCGGAGCAGCCGCTCACCGGCCGCGCTCCTGCCCTGCCCCGCACCTGAACCCCGTGCCCTGCGCCATCCCCGAGCGAACCGGAGCGACACCGACCCGGGCACGTGCTCCTCGCCGCCGCCGCGGCTCTGCCGGGCCACGACTGCCCCGGGTGACACGGGGCCAGCACCAGGTGCGGGGCTGCCTCCTCGAGCACCGCGGGCCGTGGCCGCGCCGCCACTTCTCCACGGGGGAAACCGGAGTGGCGAGGCCACAGCCGGGGCCCCGTGGCACCCCGGCCCGGCGGCCACGGTGACCTTGAGCCGTGCCCCTTTGTCCCTCCGGCCGCCCGGGGCCACGGCGCCCGGTGCGTCCCCGCCGTGGGGCGGTGGCGGGGGTCCCGAGAGGAATTCGGGGCGGCGTCACCCGCGTCCCCGGGGCAGGTGCCGGGGAGCGACAGCGGCTAAAAATAGGCAGCGGGGGTGTGACGGAAGGCCCTTTGTGCCACCGACACCGGGGCTGGGCTGGCCGCGGCCGGACACCCCCAGGCGGGCTCCCGGGAAGGGCTCCGGGGCTGTCGTGGAGGCTGAGTGAGGAAGAGGAGGAGAAGGACAGGGAGGCCGGGCCCGGCGGGTGCCGTCCCCGGGGACGGACGGGGCTGGGGACGCCGGGCGAGCAGGAGTCCCATCCCCAAAACTGAGCCCAGCCCCGCTCCCGGCGGCACGTGGCACCGGCGGCCCTCAGAAGGACCGGGCACGGAGGCGGCGGGGCCCAAACGGGCCCTGGTCCCGCGAACGGGGGGAAACGGCCGCCCCCGACACGGAGAGGCGAGCCTGGGTCGGCCCGGCCTGGCCCCTCCGCCGTCCGGACCCCGCGAGACCGCGGGCCTGGGGGGGGGCACAGGGCGGGGCCACGGGGCTCTGCCCGGCCCGGAGAGCAGCGCCCGGGGAGAACGGAGAGTCAAGGCCGGGAACGGCCGCGGGGGAAGAACCCCAGCCCCGCGTGGGGGAGGCGCCCGGTAACCGGCCGCGGGGGGCAGGGGGCGCCACGCTCCCGCCCGGCACCGGCAGCGGAGGGCCCAGCCCACCTCGGAGAGGCGGCCGGTCCTGCGCTCCGGTCCCCGCTCCCGCCCAGCCCCCGACTCCCGGTGCCGGCTACGGCCGCGGCGGGGGTCCCGTTTCTCGGTGATGCCGATCCCATCCGCGGCACCGGTGCGGCGGCGCTTCCCCCTTACCCGGTACAGGCCGTGCGCCGCGAAGCCGCATAGCAGCCGCGGCCGCCCGGGTCGGGCTCGGCGGGGCCGGTGCGCGCGGGGCCCGCGGCGCTGCTCTCCCCGCGGGCGGGCGGGCGGCGGGCGGGCGGCGGGACCCGGCCCCGCCCCGCGCCGCCCCGCCCCGCGCCGCCATTGGCCCGCCGCGCCCGGGGCGCCCCGCCCCTCCCCGCCCCGCGCTGTCATTGGCCCGTGGCTGCCGGAGCGCCCCGCCCCCCGCCGCCATTGGTCGGCATGCAAATAGCGCGCGCGGCGGGGGCGCGGCCGCAGCGCCGCCTCGCGGACGGGCGGGGGAACGGCGCCGCGCGGGGCGCGGGCCCCGGTAGAGCTCGGAGGGGGGGGCGGCTAACGGGGGGAACGGGGGGTTTAACCGGGGTTAACGGGGGCTAACGGGGCTTCTACGGTGGTTAACTAGAGGTTCGCGGGGATTAACGGAGGCGCTATCGGGGGACGACAGGGATTCACGCGGGGTTAATGGGGTCCGGCAGCCGTCGCGCCCCGGTTCGTGGGGCTCCCCGGAGCACCCCCGGTGCCCCACCTCCCGCGACGCCCGGGGCGGGGTTCCCGTGCCCCCGCCCCCGTGACGTCACTTCCAGCGGGCGGTGCCGGGCCCGGTGCCGCCGGTACGGGCCGGGGGCGGAGGCGGCGGAGGCAGGTCCCGGTCCCGGTCCCGGTCACCGTCCCGGTTCCGATCCCAGTCCCGGCGCGCCATGGTGGTGCTGCGGGGCGGCGCGGGCCCCGAGGAGCCGTTCCCGTGAGTGCGGGCCCGGGGCCGGGCGGGCCGTGGGGCGGTCGGGCCGGGCAGGAGCCCCCCGGGCTGTCCGTGCGGGCGGGGAGCGGCGGCGGCGCCTCCCGGGACAGCCCGGCCCCGGGGGCGGTGTCAGAGCGGAGCCCGGCACCGGCATCATCAGCCTTATAATTAGTGTTTATCCCTGCAGGTCACGGTGCTCCCGGTCACCGGGAATGGCCGTGCGGGCCGGGGTCACTGGTGCTGCCGGGGGTGGGCTGGGGCCCCCCGCTCCTGCACGGGGGTACCGGGCTCGGGATGCTGCGGGACAGAGCTGTTCCCGACAGCCCCGGCTGTCCCCGGCGACTTCGCTCTGCTGCCGAAGGGTGAATGACAGGAATAGGTCCGGAATTTCCAAGTTCTTCTTCCAGGCACGTTCCCTGCCTGGGAACGGGACGTGGAGGAGAAGCCACGGGTCTGTCGGTGCTCCGGTGTCCCCGGAGCTGCCGGACCGCTGTCCCGGGGCTGTGGTTTGCTGTGGTGCCCCAGGAATGACCTCTCCTGGGGTCTCATCCCAGCCTGGCACGGGACCCTGCACAAAGGGCACCGAAGCGTGTCCGACACCGGTCGCTGTGCCCTGTGAACCTCCAGGCTGGCACTGGGCGGAGGTGGCAGTGCCAGGGCAGACGTGGCAGTGCCGGGTGCCAGGACAGCCACAAACAGCCTTCAGGAAGAAGAGTCTTGAGTATGGCTCAGCCTGTTCCCCTCCCAGGGGGCTCGGGGGGTCCCGGGGGTGCTCCCACCCTGCTGACACTGCTTTTTGACATCTCTTTCTGGGGCCCTGCTGGCTCCAGGGAGCGCCAGGCTTGCAGCTGTGTACTCAAACCCCCGAGCTGGGGCCAACGTAAGGTGACTCCCTGTGTTTATTCAGGTTTTTGTAACCGTCTTTGTATCACAACTTGATCCACCAGCCCTGGTTGCTCGCTGTGGCAGGTTGGGTTACTGCTCCCCACCCGTCCTCTGGGCATTGCCTGGATACCTGAGTCTCTTTTATTCTTTCCAAGCCCACCTTTGCCACGGTTTTCTCTGCAGCTTGGAAGGGATGGTTGTTTTTTTTACCCCCCACCAGCAGCCAAGACTCTATCACTCCCCTGATGCAGGCAAAGGGAAAAAAAAAAATCAAGGTTTTGGCGAGGGTGAACAGCTGGCTGTTGGCCCAGGCTGCAATCGGACAGCACAACCTGCTCTGCCCTGTGCCCAGATCAGCTCTGTCGGGACCTGATTGCAGGACTGGGGCTCCCATGAGGCCCAGAATGCTGGAAAAGAGGGGACACGGTGGGGACAGGGCCCTGTGGATGGAGCGAGGCCGTGGTGCTGCCCTGGTACCTGCGGTCACTCCGTGCAGCCGTGCTGCAGCTCCTCGTCCTGGATGGACAGTCCTGAGCGTTGTTTTAGGGGTGTTGATTTTCTCCCCCACCTTCTGCTGCGCCAAAGGAAACCCACACAACCCTGAGGGGAAGCTTCTTTGCAAGTGAAGGTGGTGAAACTTCCTGTCCTTGGTGTTTAGTAAACTTTGAAACCCAAGCAGTTGTGTTCAGCACCCGGCGAGCTTCTCGCTTGTGGTGTGGCTTCATTTTCCCATAAAATGCCTCAGTGTTTTGGTCATCCCTAAGCTGTACCTATGACTAAACACCCTGTGTTGTGAACGGAGCAGCTTTGGGTGCCCCCAGGAGCTGGCAGTGCCAGGCTGGGGCGGTGTTGCTGCTGCCCTCAACAAGGAGTGGCAGGGTCAGTGCCAATCCACACAGGACGATGGTGAGCAGGAATGGATCCATCGTTTTGCTTCCTGTGTGGCATGGTTAATTACCCAAGTTAATTACCCAGGTTAATTACCTGGCCCTTCCAGTGCTGACACACAGCTCTTTGAGCAGAGCCAGCCTCGGAGGTGACGGTGACCCGAGGGGGACAGGGTGACCCCGTGGTGGTGCCAGCCGCAGTGCCAACGGGGCTGATGCTCTGCTGGCCCATCTCCCCCCATCCTCCTGCTGCTGGGGCTGCCCCAGGCCCCTCGGGTGGGCTGATCCCTCCCGCTGTGTCCCCCAGGAGGATTGGGTGGGCTGATCCCTCCCGCTGTGTCCCCCAGGAGGATCGAGGACTGCCTGCCCCTGCTGGAGGAGTCCCCGTCCAAGCGGTTCTCGCCGTCCAAGAGGAAGCAGTATTACATCAACAAAGCCATCCGCAACTCCGACCTCATCCCGAGGGCCAAGGGCCGCAAGAGCCTCCAGAGGCTGGAGAACAGTAAGGACCAGGGCAGGGTCTCTTCCCCAGGGCAACCTGCCCTGAACTGTGTGACAGCGGGGATGTACTGCGGGCAAGGAGCCTCTCTGGAGGCGCTTCCTCCCCTCTCAGGCTTTGCTCTTCACCCCAGCTCGCTTCCTGATGACCCTGCTGGAGCAGGATGACTGCGGGAGTGATGAGGGAGAGCTCAGCCACTCGGCCACCCCCAGCATCTTCAGCGAGGCGTGTAACAATGAGACCTATGTGGAGGTGGGTACAGCCACACTGGCTTGGGGACACTGGCATGGCACGGCATGCTTGTACCTCACTCCTCCATCCCTCTGCCTCCCTGGCCTGAGCTGCTGCAGCCCAGCTTCTGCCTGGTCTGGTCAGGCTGGGATGTGTGGGATCTGCTGCCATGTGTGCCAGGGGGTGGGGGAATCTCCGGGCAGATCCTCTCGTGGAGAGTTGTGGCTGCAGAGCAGTGGGTGCCCGGTGAGCTGAGCACTTCCTCTGGCACAAGCCCCTTGCCAAAGCCCTGTTGCCTCATGCTGGCCCTGTAACCGGGTGTTTTGAAACGTGGCCTCTCCCTGGTGTGGCACTCGGGCCATCCCTGAGGACAAGAGGGTGAGGAGGGGGCTCAGGGGTGTGGGGGTGGCCCTGCACTGCCAGCTGCACCCCACAGACCTCTGCAGTGGGGCTTGGTGTTTTCTGTTGTCAGATCTGGAACGACTTCATGAACCGGTCGGGAGAAGAGCAGGAGCGGGTCCTGCTCTACCTGGAGGAGGAGGCCAGGAAGAAGCAGAGGAGGAAGCTGCCTGTCAAGGATGAAGAGAAGTGGAAAGGTGCTGGGAGGGGACGCAGGGTGGGGACAGCCTCTCCCTTTCCTTCCTTGTGTACATTCTGGGAGGGCTGCACCCACTCCCTGTTAATGGTGGGGCTGGGGGATGCCTGAGCCCACCCCCTGTGTGTGACAGGGTGGGGGTTTGCCTGCAGACCCCCACCATGGACCAGGGAGGGTTTGTGGGAGCCAGGAGTGGCTGGGATGATGGCACAGCAGCCATCCCTTAATGTCACACCCCCAAATCTCTGCACCCCGACCCTCCTGTGCTGGGGAGAGCATTGCTGTTTGTGAAGGGGGCACGGGGCGGGGGGGGACACTGGGTCCTCCCAAAAAGTGACACTGTGGGCTCTGGAGCTGTGAGCTGTGTCCAAATCCCTTCTCCCTTGTCCAGAGCTGCCTGCCTACACGCCCCAGGAGTGCTTCCAGCGCATCAGCCGCCGCCTGCGTGCCACCCTGAAGAGGGGCAGGATCCCCATGGTGAGCTGGAGGCTGGGGCAGCAGAGCTGGGGCTGCCAGGGGTCCCTGTCCCCAGAGCTGTGCCCTGACCCTGTGCAGAGGATTTCAGAGGAGCTCCTGGGAACGCGCTGGGGCTGCTTGCAGAGACACCCAGCTCCCGGCACGTGGGGTTTCCTGGCTCGGTTCAGATTTTTCTGGTAGTTACAGGGCTTTTTTTTTAGTGGTAGTTTCTCAGTCTTTGTGCAATGACAGCAGGTGACAGGTGAAACCAGGCGTGTTTGTGCATGGGGACAGCAGTGGAGCCTTTAGGGTCTTCACAGTGGCCCACACAAGGTTATTTGGGGGAACTCCAGAGTGTTTTGAAAGGGGGTAAAAGTGCACCAACTGCTGAGCAGGAAGGAGAGAGGTGAGTGCAGCCCTGCACTGCCTGCCCAGACACTTGCTCTACCAGTCCTGGGGGTGCTGGCTCCCTGCTCCCTCTGCTCTGTGGGGCTCTGTTTGTTTGCCTTGTGCTAATTAGAGCTTCTAAATGCAGCCTGGGCTCCTCCTGCCCACTGGCTTGTTTGTCTTCCAATGAGACGCGTGTGCTGCTCATCTCTGGGGTCACAGAGCTCCGCAGAGCAGCAGAGCACTGAGCTTTGACTGTTGGGAGGCACGGGGCTCCCCTGGCTGCTGTGAGCACGAGGGATGGTGCCAGCCCTTGGCACACACAGTGTGGAGTTGGCAGGAGCTGGATCCTTCCCTGCCTCAGGGGCTGGAGATGGGAGATGTCTCCTCTCCCTGCTGTCTCCCGTCCAGATAACTTGCCCGGGAGCTGCTGGCAGCAAGTCTTGGGGAATCAGTTGTGCCAGGGCTGTGCCCAGCACTGTCCCCTCCTCGCTGAGCCCCTGCCTCTCCTCACAGGGGACGCTGGAGGGGCTGGAGGAGGAGCTGCTGGCCTTCTTCTCTGTCACCCCGCACTCTGTCTACACAGCACTGATGGATAACAGGTATTCCCCCATCTCGGGGTGCTGGGCTTCCCCATGCCCCAGGGCTGCCCCAGGGCTGCCCCAGCCTGCAGAGGGGCTTTGGGAGCACAGGACACCCCTCAGCCTCCCCTCAGCCAGGCCTGGCTCTCCACCTGGGGACACCCACCTGGCCTGGTCCCCGTGGAGCCCCTGGGGGAGGGAGGCACCTGGGGATGCCTGCGCAGGGCTTCGTGGCACTTTGTGCTCCCCTTTGTGTCCCTGGGAGGATGGAGGGCAGGGCAGCCTGTGGGACACACTGCTCAGGCTCTAACCCTGTCCCCTGTCCCCCAGCTTTGAGCGGCTCCTGCTCCACGCGCTCTGCCAGTACATGGATCTCGTCTCTGCCAGTAAGAGCCGCGTGTCCGCTTGGTCGATTTTGATTTTGTTGTTGTTTTTTTCCCCCTTCCCTCCATCACTATCTCTCCTCTCCAGCTCTGCCTTTTCCTCCCTTCCTCCTGCCGGTCCCACCTCGCCCTGGGGCTCGCAGATAACCCCGCGGTCCCTCCCCTGCCTGCTCCCTCCCCACCAGTGCCCGGAGCTCCCTGGGCAGCCCCGGCCGTGTCACCAGCGCTGCGGGCAGCCGCACACCCGGGGCTCGCCGGGACCCAGCTCTGACGGGAAATTTGGGTGCTCCAGAGCAGGAATCTGCTCGCCGGGTTCCCTCTCCTGCAGCTGCTTCCTCCTCCCGAGGAGCAGCCGCGCTCTCGTACTGCCCTGGGCACCCCCAGAGGTTTTGTTGCCAAGGCAGGGAAGGCATCCATCCCTCCGGAGGAGGCTCTGCTGCCGAGCGTTTCATTCGGAGCCGCTTGTGGCCATCAGCCTGAGCTCTAATGATGGCGAGCGAGCCCGTGGTGCCGGCAGGGGACAGAAAACAGGGGACAGAAATCTCACCACGAGCCCCAGGGGGAAAAGGGGAGGGCTGTGGCTGGGAGCGCCTGTTGGAGACCCCCGAGGTGGGGAGGAGGGATGTGCTGAGCGCTCCGTCCCACCCGCAGGTTCGGACATCGAAGGGAAACGTCAGATGAAAGTGAGCAACAAGCACCGCGTGTTCCTGCCCCCGGAGCTGCTGCTCTCGGACTACCTGGGGCAGATGAGCTGATGCCCCCACAGCTGCCCTGCCCCTCCTGTGTCCTCTGCAGCCTCTCCCGGAGCCTCGGCGGGGCAGAGCCGGGGGTTTGTGCCTGTGCTGGCCGCGGGTGCGGGGCAGGAGCCCCTGGCCCGCCCCGGCTCCCCGCGCATCCCTCCTGGAACTGTCGGTGTGTCTATTTATATAACCCAGGTGTTTTTAAAAAAGAATCAGGCAGGGCCGAGCCTCGCTGTGGCGCTGACGCTCGTGGGGTGATTTCGGTCCAGATTTTTCTGCGGTGAAACAGCTCCCGGCGGCTGCTGAGCAATCGCTGAGCCGGCGGAAGAGCCCCGGGGCTGCCGCGTTCCCGCAGCCCCGTGCCCACCGGGTGTCCCGGGGGGCTCGGGGCGTGGGGAGCTCCGGATGCTTTTTACCCCACGCCCTGTGCCCTGCCCACCCCACGGGGCTGTTTTTAAGTGTAATATAGCTTGTGTGTTTTTTATCACGTGTGTGTATATTTACATGTGTGTGTGTGTGTGTGTGCGTGCGTGCGTGCGTGTTGGAGGGGTGCAGCCCCTTTCGGGGCTCTCTCTGCTTTTCCACAGCTGCCATGGGGGCAGATGGGGGCATTCTGGGGGTCTCTCTGTGTGCCCCCCGGCTTCGTGGCATGTGCCAAGGTTTGCTCGGGGCAGGGCGTGCCCTGGGGATCTTTGCTGGCTGCTTTGCCCCAGCATGATGACACCGACTGCCATTAACCGTGGGCACCCCCAGAGCCTGGGGAACCCCTCGTGGGCACCCCCAGAGCCAGGGGCGCCCCTCGCTCCTCCTTGGCTGGTGTGGCGTTCAGAAACAATAAAAACGGTGCTCCCCTACTCCGGCTCTGTGTCTCCATGTGGGGAGGGGGAGGAGGGAGGTTTTTGGGGGGTGGCGGAGCAGCTGGTGGGGCACGGGATGGAAAATGTGGGTGCGGGGAGGTGCGAAAAATATGGAACGCTTCACGAATTTGCGTGTCATCCTTGCGCAGGGGCCATGCTAATCTTCTCTGTATCGTTCCAATTTTAGTATATGTGCTGCCGAAGCGAGCACGAACTGCCCTGCACCCGCAGCGCTATTTAAAGACTCACAGAAATAATATTGTCATGATAGGGTGAATGAGGTGCGGCCCAATATTAGACGCGGAATGAGCTTCCCAAGTGTTTCTCAGTTTTTTTCTCTGTTATTTTCTTGGATTTTCCCCAAATTGTCCGAAATTCGCCGGTTATGTTTGCTATCTCTGCCCGATGCATTGTGGGTAGTTTGTTATGGTAATTATACCCTGCTGGATGGCTCTCTCTGCGGGGGTGTCTGTGGCAGTGCCTGAGCGCGCGGCGCAGGCGCGGGCCGGGCAGCCCGCGGGCGGGCCGGGGTCCTGCAGAGCGGCGGGCGCCGGTGAGGGCGGCGGGACCGGGAACGGACCGGGAACGGGCCGGGAACGGGCCGGGAGCCTCCCGCGGCCTCCCCGCGACCCCCCGGAACCTCCGGGACCGTCCCCGGCGAGGGGGGACGATCCTCCTGCCCGCCGTACGGTCGGTACCCGCGGGCCGCTCCCCCCGGGACCGCCGCGGTTTGTCCCGGTGCGGGGCTGTTCCCACCCGTGTCCCCAGGGCTGTGCCCCCCCCCATGGCCCCTGAGGTTGGGATTCCCTGTGTGTGACCGGCCTTGTGTCGCCCCCAGGCAGGACCGAGGCTGTCCCGTGTCCAGTATCCCGTGTCCAGTGTACCGTGTCCGGTGTACCGTGTCCGGTGTACCGTGTCCCGGTGGGATGGATCTGGCCTACGTGTGCGAGTGGGAGAAGAAGCCCAAAAGCAACCACTGCCCCTCCATCCCGCTGGTGTGCGCCTGGTCCTGCCGCAACCTCATCGCCTTCACCACGGACCTCCGCAATGAAGAGGAGAAAGGTACCGGGAGCCCCTCGGGAAATCCCTGCTGGCAGCTCCCGGTGCTCCCGGGAGAGGCCAGGATCCGCCGGGCCGCAGCTCTGCCCTGCCCCGGGCAGTTCCGGGCTGCTGCTCCTCCTTTTCCTTCTATCCCTCAGCCTCTGGCAGCGTCTCACACGCGTTTGTTTCCTCTAAACCAGCACCGACTTCCCAAATCTACACCATGCTGGCTCCTCACTGAGCTCCCAGCAGAGTTGCTACCCTGCCCCAAATGATTTCTATAAAATATTTTATATTTTCCCTGCACCAGCTGAGGCTCAGGAGCAGTGCCAAGGCACAGGGAGTCACTTCTCTGTTCACACAGATCTCACCCACATGGTCCATATCATCGACACCGAGCACCCCTGGGATGTCTACTCTGTGAACTCGGGCCACACCGAAGTCATCACCTGTTTGGAGTGGGATCAGTCAGGTGGGCTGGGCTCCCTCCACATTGGCACCGTGTCCCACCCCTGCTGTGTATGTCCCCAAGGGGTGGGCTGTGATTCCTTGTGGGGTTTTGGCTGTTTCCCCCATTCTCATGCAGTGTCACTGTCACAGGCTCCAGGCTGCAATTCCTTGTGGGGTTTTCTCTGTTCCCCCATTCTCATGCAGTGTCACTGTCACAGGCTGTAATTCCTTGTGGGGTTTTGTCCATTCTCCCCCATTCTCATGCAGTGTCACTGTCACAGGCTCCAGGCTGCTCTCAGCAGATGCTGATGGCCACATCAAGTGCTGGGGCATGACAGATCACCTGGCCAACAGCTGGGAGAACACGGTGGGCAGCGTGGTGGAGGGGGACCCGGTGGTGGCCCTGTCCTGGCTGCACAACGGCGTCAAGCTGGCTCTGCACGTGGAGAAGGTTTGTCTCAGCTCCGTGGGGGATCTGGGCTGGAGCTCTGGCTCAGGTCTTGGCAGAGAACTCAGGATCCTGCCTGTGTTCCGTGCTCTGGGCTCTCTTGTGGCCTTGGGGAATTTTTGCAGTCAGAGAGAAGTCAGATTCCTGGTTCCTGCTGAGTTCTGAGGGGGGTTGGAGCCTTGTTTCTTTTGGTGTTTCAGGTGTGTCTCTCCTAGTTTGGTACCTCATTTCTAGGCAGGAACACGGAGATAGAGCAGTTCTTTCCTCACCTGTGGTGATTCAGAGAAAATGCATATGGAGTGCTGAGGTTTGATCTGGGCATTTGTGCACAGACCTCAGCTCCTCATGTGTGATCCTGCAGACTCTGAAAGCCCAAAGCTGCCGAGCACAAGTTCCCTGCTTGTGTTGGGGATGTCCCACATAAATCCTGCCCCTGTCCCTCGAGAAGAGCCCCGCAGGCACAAATTTTGGCCGCAAACACTTTGGTTTTGCTGACCTTTGTTACAGTCCGGAGCCTCGAACTTCGGCGAGAAGTTCTCGCGGGTGAAATTCTCCCCGTCGCTGACGCTGTTTGGGGGGAAGCCCATGGAGGGCTGGATTGCTGTGACCATCAGCGGGCTGGTCACCGTGTCCCTCCTCAAGCCCAACGGGCAGGTGCTGACGGCCACCGAGAGCCTGTGCCGCCTGCGCTGCCGCGTGGCCTTGGCCGACGTCGCCTTCACGGGCGGGGGCAACATCGTGGTGGCCACGTCCGACGGCAGCAGCACGTCCCCCGTGCAGTTCTACAAGGTGTGTGTCAGCGTGGTGAACGAGAAGTGCAAGATCGACACCGAGATCCTGCCCTCCCTCTTCATGCGCTGCACCACCGACCCCGCGCGCAAGGACAAGTACCCGGCCATCACCCACCTGAAGTTCCTGGCTCGGGACATGTCAGAGCAGGTGGGAAGCTGCTCTCTGCTCCACCTGGTCTTCCTCACAGGGTCTGGGGTGGCCAGCTGTTGGATAGATAAATGTAATTATTCATAAATAATACAGCCAAGATGAGAACGGTCCTCCCTGCTAGCCGGACAATGTCCCTGCCTACAGATGGGTCCAGGGGTCAAGTGGACTGTTCCATCTCACCCCCCAAAATGTACGGTTCACCCCACACCTGTAACCCTCCCCTAAAACATCAGGTGTCTGTAACCCCATTGGCCCAAGTCTTGTTCCAGCCTGTTGCAGAGGATAGATAGATATGATTGTTATTTTAGCTAGCCGGATGTCACTTCTACCCTTGGATGAATCCTGGAGTGAAATGGACTGTTCCATCCCACCCTGCAAAAAATTGTGGTTCATCCCGCACCTCTGTACCTGCCCCTAAAACAGAGTCTGTAACCCCATTGGCCCATACCTTGTCCCAGCCCACCTGGGAGCCCCTAATAAGGGGGCTCTGAGCGGCCATGCGGCCTCTTGGCCCTCTCCTCCCCTCTTGGACTTCCTCTCTCCCTGGGGCTTCCCCTCTCCTAAACCCTCCGTTTCTCTCTCCCCTCCCCCGTCCTCCTAAGCCCAGCCACGTGCTACGCCTGAGAGCACGAGGCCTGGGCATCCCTGAATTCTCCAATAAACCTCTTCCCCCAAGAGCAAGCTTCAGAGATCTCTGCCTCCCTACACCCCCAACCGTGCACAGGAGCCTACTCATCCCACACCAGCCCACCTTGAAGCCCCCTGATAAGGGGTCTCCGAGGGGCCACATGGCCCCTTGGAACTTCCCCTCCTCTTGGAACTTCCCCTCTCCTAGAGCATCCTTTTGTCTCTCCCCTCCACCACCCTCTCAAGCTTCGCCACGTGCTGCATCTGGCAGCTCGAAGCAGGACCTTTCTTCATCCCTAATAAACCTGATATCCCAAGAGCAGCCTGCAGGGATCTCTCGTCTCCATTCATCTATACCATCCTGGAGCAGGCAGCACGACCCTACAGCTAGCATGTCCTGCAATACCCTTGGCATTCCTAGTTGCCCTTCTGGTGCAGCTGGAATTAGGGACCTTGCCTCCCACTGATTTGATCCTCTGCTTTTTGCTGGTGGAGCATGACCTGAGTGGGAACAGCACCCTGGAAATGGAGGGTGGGAATGACCAGGGCAGTGTCCTCCCTGTTCTGAAGCTTGTGTTTCACAGGTGCTGCTTTGTGCCTCCAACCAAAACAACAGCATCGTGGAGTGTTGGTCCCTTAGGAAGGAGGGCCTGCCTGTCAACAACATCTTCCAGCAGATCTCTCCTGTGGGTAAGTGTCTGCTCTGGGGATTCTCAAGAACGGGAGCTTGGTCTGAGGGAAAAAGCAGCACAGTTTCTCACATCCATAATCCCATAGATGGTGTTACTCAGAATCTCACGTTTATTTTCAGGTGTTCTGAGTCCATTCTGTCTGTTTGCATAATAGGCAGCAACTTGCAGTTTCCAGGAAGGGAAACTGTTCTTGCTTTCGCTTCATAAAAGACATTTTTTGTGTTTTGCTGCACAGCCGCCCTTCCTGCCACCAATGGAGCAAAGGCTCCCAAAGGACCAGGATTGAGCAGCAGAGCTGGATTAATCCCCTGCCCTGGCTGCTTGGGCTCCACCTGATCTCAGATAAAACAGAATTAATCAGGGCAGTTTGTTTGGCGAAATATAAAGGATTATTGTATATCAGGATCTTAGTCACGCAGCAGAGCTTCCCATCATGAGAGATTTAGCAAAACATGTTGTTTGTATAATCAGGAAAAAAACAGGGAACTGTGAGGGAAACATACTGGAAACATATGGGAAATATACCAGTGCCTGGTCTGTGATCCTGCTTGGGGGAGTCTGGGCAGAAATGGGGGCAGATTTTCTGATCTCTCTGGGGCAAAATTCTCACTCATTTGCTCATTTTCCCCAGTGGGAGACAAGCAGCCCATGATCCTGAAGTGGCGTATCCTGTCTGCCACCAACGACCTGGACCGGGTGTCGGCCGTGGCGCTGCCGAAGCTGCCGATCTCCCTGACCAACACCGACCTGAAGGTGGCAAACGACACCAAGTTCTTCCCTGGACTGGGTAAGGAGTT